CTGTTGCCGTTGCTGTTGTTGTTGCTGTTGTTTAATGTTGCGTGCTAGATGTTTGTCACGTCCACGGCCATTTCCACAGCTCGTTTCTGTTTGTTTGCGCTGGCTACTTAATAATTAATCAGCGCACTGCATTCGCGCCGAGCCTTTTGTTCGCTCTTGCATCCATCGTCAGATACATTTGCTTATTGAAATCCAATTAAAATGCGTGCGTAAATTGCTTTACACGAATCTCTCGCTCACTTTCAGCCCTAACGAACCATGGACGAGAAACAGAATAAAATAAAATAAAACAAAAACAAAAACAAAAACAAAGTTCTGTGTTTGGGGCCGGAGATTCACTGCTCATAAAGCACGCCTTGTTGCTTTTGTTGTTTATGAGCGCCAGCACACAGATACGCGTCATTGAACGCGAAACGCGAACGCGTTTCTCGCGCGGTTTCTGTGCTGTTTGCTCGCAGTTTTCCCAGCTCTTGCCACTGCTGCCGCCCCCGTTGCAAAAACTTTCTTGCTAGCTTTTGAGTCGGCAACCTACACATCAAACAAAGAGATGTGCTCAGACGACAAGCACAGTCGACTATTAAATACTCTATTTAATGTAATGCGGAAAATAAAGATATGCGAGCAATATGATAAAATATAAATTTGATACCAAGCAAATTTAGTTTGTCAAACTCCTAAGCTAACTTTTAAAATATATTGTTAGATTTTACCTATGATCAACTTTGTATATTGCTTGAATATGAATTTAAAAAAATAAAATTTAAAGAAATAATTAATTAAATGATTTAGGGAATTTTAAAAATATTTAAAACAAAAATTAATAATTTTGAATATCTTAATATTATTGAAATCTATTTTAAAAAATATTTTCATCAATATAATTTTTCACATGACAAAAATATATGCAAATATTTTAAATATATACATATAATATATTTCTATATATATAAAGTGTTCTAACGAGGTACCTTAAATAATTCGGGAATTATTTCATAGGCTTTAATAAAAACGTTTTCTCTCGATTTTTCGTAAATTTCAAATAATATTTCAGATTTTCAACGTACATCAAAATGCCCATAATTATTATAGCAACAAAGGGATAATGCCTTAAATATATCAATAAGAATTTTCATAATAATAATTCTGGGAATGCATTCTAAAAGCGAACTGCCTGGAATCTATACTAATAAAGTCTTCGATAACGCTCATTCATTCTTCACTCTGTCAAGCTCTCGCTCTCTTTCTCTCTCTCTCTCCCTCTCTCTCTCTCTCTCCTTCTCTCTATCCATTAATATTGCCTTTCTCTCTCTAATGCGCTCACTTGTATCTGAAATGTTTGCTTACAATTTGCAATGAATTATGCCTGCCGAAAAGCGATTTAGCGATCCAGCCAGCCAATCTTATAGCCGCAGCCGTAGCCGCCGCCGCCTGCGCCTTCGCCACGCCCCCACTCAATCCCTCGCTGAGCTTCCCCTTTATGGTGCTGTTAACGACTTGCTACTTGCTTTGACTTGCATTGAACTGTGAAATTTGTGCAATTTCCAATTTCATAAAGTTGCGCGGTGTTTGTTTGTGTTGTTTTACGCCCGGGCCCAAAGAACTTTGAATTATGATTATCGCAAAAATACAAACACACAGACACACACACACACACACAGCTGAGAGCTGGCGTATGCCAGCTTGCTTGGACGCACTGCAGCGGACATACCCAGCCACGCACTCAAGTGCAGTTAATTAAATTTTGTGCAATTTATTTTGTGCAAAACTTTAGCAGCAGCAGTAACAACAACAACAGCAACAACAACAACAACAACTGCTGTTTGTGCCGTGCGTTGTTTACTTTTCACTTTGTAGTTTTGCATTTTGCCGTCAGAGTTTTGCAAAATAGTTTTCACATACATACAATACAAGGAGTGGTGCGGGGCACGGAGTGAGGGGCGCAGCTCATCTACTCGCTGAATTCATTGGGGCAAGCCTCAATAGGGGCGAGAATGCATTGTTTATGCAGTAAATGAAATGCTTGCCATTGATTTGGCATAGTTTCCACACAAACAGCATTACCCCCCAATCACCGAGGTGGAGCGACGGAAGCTATGCTGTCATAATTGATTACCCACACATAGAGAACTGCGCTGCGCCCATCGATCAGACGGAGAAAAAGAGTTCTCCTAGCTCTCATAGTTTTTACGCAGCTCATTTCATTTTTTTTTTTTTTTTTTTTCAATAATTAAAAATAATTTATGAGCAGCAATATGTCAGGGCGTAATGTAAATATTAACAACTGTAAGTTTCTGGCGTTGCCTCTTGACTTGAATGATTACAACAATTTACAGGGCGCACTGGCAAAAGTTTTGCTGTCTGTAGATAATTAAGCAATTGTGTTTTGGCTAAATGAATTTTTAGTGCACTGATGGGCTACGAGTAAAGATAATGCTCAAGAACCAGCGGGCATATAAGCACTCTGCGGCGGGAAGTTTGAAAAGTTTATGGAAATTGAACAAATTAGCGTTTGAGGGGCAGCCAAAAGCAAAAAAAGTTTAATTACAAGCTTAAAAGCAATATGAAAATATTCTGACAATACCAGTTTTTCGTTACGAAATCAAATATTTGCTTAGCTTGAAAATTTAGTCGATATTAATATGGTAATTAATTTACTAACAATTATTATTAGCATATGCATGCGTAAATATAAAATTAGGTGCCTAAGGCTACTTTGGCTGAATTTAAAGAGGAATATAATTATACTAAAATATTTGTTAATAATCACTTTAATAGAAACTAAAATTATAATTAATTGAATGGAAATGAATGAAATAAATTATTTTAGATAAAGTTGGGGTATTATTTTATTCAAAACTAAAGATTTTGGCAGTTACATATGTACCCATATATGAGTAAATGGTTATATCTTTTGACTCGTATATGTATATATCTTTATATGTATGTATGATTTTCAAGTATCTTACGATATATTCCTAAAATAGTTCAACAAGTATTAAAGGCATTTAGATAATCCAAGAACACTTAGATCTCACGTCGCTTTTTTCTACTTAGCCTTGAAACTAAATGACCAATGAGCTCTAAATTCAAGTCTTTCATGAAGACGTGGGGGGATTCAAAAATAAAATTAAGAATAAGACGAGCAGAATTCTTTGATTACTCAAGCTGGGCAACAAAATTTTAATGAAATACAAAATATTTCAATAATTAAATATAGGCCTCAACTTAGAAAAGTTTTGGTTATTCAGGCTCAAAAAATATTTTAATATATATATTATATACACATATATGACTGAATAACAAAATCTTTATATATAGATTGGATTCAGTTTAGAGACATGAAGTAAAACCCAAACAATATACCAGGACAGTACGAACTTACGTTGACTTGTCTGCAATGTTGGCTGCTATAATTGCTGCTATAATAATAATTTGTAATATACCATTGACCGGAGGCATCATAAACAAATATTCAATAACAAACTGTAGTTAAAGTTAAGATATTTGCAAGAAAACTTTTTCATAGAAATATATGTAAAAGACTCAAGAAAGACTTTCTATGATTTTATTATTCACTACTCTAGTTCTAGTTCTAGTAGTTAACAGCAGCTAGATATATATAAGAATTTACAAATGCAAATTATAAAGTTAAGTTAAGGAAAAAAAAAAAAAAGAAAAGCAAATGAATAAATAAAAAAAATTTGGTATAGAGCTAACAGCAGCTAGATATAGAAAAGAATTTATAAATTCAAACTATAAAACTTAGTTTTAAGAATAATAATTTTTTTAAGAAAAAATAAATTCTTTCAAATCGAACAGAGATAAAAATCTTTTATAAGTCTATGGACTTGATAAACTCAAATAAACTTTACTGACCGCCCAGCCATTGAGAGCAGTTGAAAATTGCCAGCACCCAGTGAGAAAGCAAGAGACTAGACTTAAATGGAATGCAGAAAGGCTAAGAGCAGAGCAAGTAAAATGAAACTACGACAAAATGTAAAAGAATAGTATCTCTAACTGCAGATGGCGAGATAGGGCGCTGGCTGTCAAGTGGCAGGCGAGCTCGAGCAAGCTCAGGCAAGCTCAGTGGCTGCTCAGCGGCTGAGTGCTTGAAGAATATGGTATATACACGGCTGACCTTTGTCTAGTTTCCTGCTTTGGCTCGGCTGGCTTTGACTTATGGTGCTTAAGCGTTGACTGATTGCATCTAATTATTCACTGAATGATAATATTGTTGATATTTTTGTCTGCCTGCTAAGAACAACAGTTGATGTTCACGATGATGATGATGCTGATGACGGCGTCTCAACGACCTATTCATGACCCTTTCGTGGTCTCTAAGGGGGCCGCTGCCCGCTTGAGTGGAATTTCATTTGAAGCATCAGCTGCTGCTGCTTCTGCTGCTGACTGTGCTGCTGCTCCATTCGACAAGTGGAGCCCAAATGATAATTGCGCTTTTCATGCATTCTCACAGATTGATGGCAAATGGAAATTGAGTCTGCCGATTGTATCATCTTCCTTTTCTCTGGCTCCAATTTGATATGCTTTGTTTTGCGTTTAATTAATTTATGCGTTCGCCTGACAGGTGAGAAATGCCCTGGCATAGAATTTTTGATTTGTTTTAATTTGATTTCGGAATTAAGCTTTTCTTTTTTCTCTTTTTGCTTTGCCCCTACATCATCCTAATATATATATATATATATGCTTATTTTGTATAATATTTCCACATATTTCATTTTAATTGGGTGCAATTTTTCAAGTGTCAGTTGCCCGATTTTGTGGGCGTGTTGGTGTGGAAATTTTAGCCTCGCTCGTTATGCAATGCGCTGCAGGCCAAAATGCATCGCATAATTAATTAACATGTGTAGAACGAGTGGCACTGACAGACCCAGAGGGAGAGAGAGTGAGTGAGAGCGAGAGCGAGAGAGTAGTAGTCCAAATTAATGGAGTTGCCATTACCAACCGCAACCAACTGATATCCAAATTATCATAATTTTCAGGCACCTGCAAACAGGCTCTGGGCATGGAATCTGGCGCCATAGCGGACTTTCAAATTACGGCCAGTTCAGCTCATGACATGGGAAACGTTGGGCCACAGCACGCTAGGTGAGTTCAATTTAAATTTCATTTTTTAAAGATAATCAAAAGCTATATATAACTTTATATTTATTAAAATACTTCAAATATTTCTATTTTATGTACAATGTCAGCTGAGGTATTCAAAATTGAAAAATGAGTGAAAGCTAAAGAGAGGGAATATGAGAGAAGAGTTGAAAGATGGAATGAGAAGAATAGAGAGAGAGAAATAGGAAGATAACAGTGTGTGAGATAGGAAAACGCAGAAAAAGCGGGTAAAAAAATGTGAGAGATGCAGACAGGAAGACATGGAGATGAGATAGAAAAGATAGCTATTTAAGAGAGACAGAGATACAGAGAGAAAGTAGAGCCTGAGAGGAAATTGAAAACAGAGACGGGACAATGTGAGGTAGACAGCCAACTTGAGATATATATAGAGAGAGCTTAAATGACATATCTAGGGAAAAACGTTGACTGAACTTAAGCCTATGCCGAAAAGGGTGTGGAAGAGCGAATAACAGAGAAGAATCAGAGAGAGAGAGAGAGAGAGAGAAATAGAGAGAGAGAAACTAAAGAGACACGGAGAGATTGATAGAGAGGTAGAGAAAGAGAGAGAGAGAGAAATTGTGAATACAAGAAAATTAGATAGCGCGAGGTAGATATTATGAATTCTAGATAAATACTTGAGGTGAAAAATTTTGTTTCTACACAAAGAGAATGCGGATGACATCTAAGTTCCGCCTTTAACCCAAGTTCTTAATAAAATATTTTTGTATAATACTGTAGAATCCTCTTATGGCGTCCGTAGTTCTTGATTTTAACGTCTTCTAGGTAGAATGGCGATCCCTTGAACATCTGTATAACAAGATTATAATATATTTGCAATTTATTTTACACAAGTTTTTCTAAAATACTTATTCGTTTACGTGGATTAAAAGTGGGCTATAATTATGATAAGCACTGTACTATTGTAAAATCTTGTAAAATTAAACTTTCGTGATATATGTTATATTAATAGTATTAATATTAATTTAATACTCACCCATCGTATAACCACCCATCTCAAAAACCTATGCTACATTCAAAAATATGCAAAATGTAATTCCTTTGAATATATAAGCCGTAACTGAAGTAAACATGTGCCCCAAAACTGATATCAGCTCCAATCACTTAACCTACATGCAAAGGCACAAAGGATTGTAATTACGTCAGACAACTTGATGACTTCGTGTTAGGCTCAGCCCTGCCCCTAGGTAAAATATTATTAAAGCTATCAACGGTCATAAGAATATACACACACACACCTACAAAAACACACACATGTTATTTGTGTTAACTCAGAATGGTAAACAAGAAACATGCATTTAAATCTGCCACATAAAAACGGTTACATTGACGAGCCAAGGGATGGAGTTAAAGACAGGGAATGCCATGGGATGGGCATCCAAATGGCAAGTGAGGAATACTTGTATATCCTGTGTACATGGAAATTATTATGAATTATTTTATGGCGTGTTTAAATGCCTTTATGTCATTTCTGCCAAAAACAAGGCAAACACACAGCTCACATAAATTAAAATACGCACACACACACACACAGAAACACACACTCACGCGCTTATGTAAATGATGGAAAATAATGATACAACTTATGACCGCTTTATATTTTGCTGACATTTATTTGCCTGCTGTGATGTCGGCCAAAAACCATTTACTGATTTATCTTCTCGGTCCGCATGACAAATTCGCAACGCGCTTTAATAAAAATAAAATACACTGGTAATTATTTAGAATGCCCCAGAAAAAAAAAAACGCTGACCCCAAGCACTGCGATCATGAATATATAATGCATAATATTCTTCCTGCCTGTATAATAAAGTACCAACATTTTTATGACCCACTAAAATCATTTGCACAATGTGCCACAAAAGCAAAACAAACCAACAAACATTGAATGGACAGCCGAGTGTATAAAAACCTAAAAACAAACCCACAAATTGTCAAGCTTAATAACTTGCCAAAAAACTTTTCACTCTGCTGGAAAGAAAGCAAGATATAGCATTTTAATAGCTGATTTAACATGATGGATGAGCTTTCAAACAAAAAA